GTTCTCTTATTCCATTGCATCGAAGGCGACGCGAGCACCGTACAGGCATTCCAGCTCAGTCGAATAAATGCGAGCTCTCTGTGTCTCTCGTCAGTCCTTTCGATGTCATGTCAGTTTCAACGAGATATTCCCATTTCGTTGGAGGCGTTCCTGGCTACCGCCTGCCATCGGGCTTTGCATTCAGTGTCCACTTTGCAAGATGGCTATCATTCATCCGTTGGCAATGGCTCGACCATCTTAAATGCGTCGTTTTCAGTCAGTCGTTTTAGTTGGATTTACTAGTCTCTCTCAACAGTGTTTGACACCTGATCGTGCCATTTAACTTTTAGTATTGATTTCCATCGCTCTCAGATATCTGTTTTGAGTTGCGTTAACTAATACCTTCTCCAGACCACCGAACAAGACGTTTAAAGTGCAAGTCATACCCGGCAGGATCTGCAGTTTTGCTGTTTCAGGAACCTTTGTTCTTCGGTCTGGGTTCTACCAGTTTGCGTCCACTTCGTTTTCTTTCATGTAGTCGAGAGATCCAGAGCAGAAGACTTGTTTGAGATTTAAAAACAGTGATTTCGCGGCTTCGAAGTTGTCTGCAAGCCACACGATATCATCCGCATATGTAGGAAAATTTGCGTAAGTTCCCCATGTTTTTCCGCAGTCGCAGCATCACTTTTTGTATCGGCTGGAAAACTCAGTCAAGAAACATCGCAACCGTATGACAGAGTCCTTTATTCGTTACCTTACAAAAAAATCATAACGTGAGGAGTGCCGTCAGTCCGCACTGCACTGGACGAAAGATTGTATTTCTTTTTAATTTAACGAATAATCCTTGGTACAGTCCGATAGTGTTCACAAACTTTACCCACCTCTTCAAATTGAGTCAAACGTTTCAGTGAAATCGACGAATATTGCAAAGAAATGCATCCTCATTTTCCCTTCTGTTCCATTAGCCGTCTCATTTGTGATAATCCGGTTTAAATTTCTTCTGTCTATTCTGAATCCAGACGGCGTTTCCCCAAGATGTTTTCAAGGTATTGTCTAATCCTGTTCGCCAAAACATTGAACACTGTAACAGCACTGGCTAACGACCTTATTCCATGGTTGTTGTTTCGATCCGCGCACAATAGCGTTTCTTATCAATTATGAAACCACAGTATCTTTCCTTCGGTTATTCGGGATCTTCTTTTTGTGTCATGCCAATTCTAAGAGATTCACCTCACCAATGCCAACATTTCGTTTATTGCAGATTCCTCAATTAGCACTGGTTGTATTTCGGTTATTACTATAGTTTTGCTATTATGAATGAAATCTTTTATTATAATTTGTTCTTTCGCCTCTTGGCATTTAGGTCAAGCGGCTTATGTTTGCGTGTCACAGTTACTGTCTCGATCACGGAAGTTGAGGTTCTGTGCTACAGTAAATTTTCGCTTTCTTGGAAGCAATGCGCATATAAAATACCGAGACGTGTTTCATCCATTTCTTTTCCATCTCTTCTCGCTCTTGCGCAGTTCGCAATGGAAAACATTCCGTTGTATTTCGGTTCGATTTACTGCTGTTTTCGAAATGGTCCCGCTTGCCCTTTAGGTAGTCATCGATTGCTCGTCAAAATATTAAAATATCGTTAACGGAAATTTTTTACCGCGTATTATTTTTGGAAACATTTTTCGAAAAAATCGCGTAAAGAACAACGTAAAGAATGTAAACCACCGTCTGTGGTTGTAGAAAAAGCAACATTCAGCTGAAGGTTTTTTGGTTTCATACATGTTTTTTCTTTGTTGCCATCCTGGCTAGCGGTCCGTCTTCAGCTTGGTTGCTCGACTGTGCGTTCTTTGACAGTTTGACTTCGAATTGCAATCATGCTAGGTTTTGCATTTTGCTGGATTGCCGATTCAGGTGCCCATCCGCAGGCCGACTGCTCGCTCGCTCCCTATTCTTTGCATGGAGAGCGGACGGATGCTCTTTCAAATAGATTTGCTGAGTAAGAAGGGGAGGG